AGGCAAAACTTTTCCTGTGATTCATCATTTCTTGGTGTCTTACAGCTACTGAACCAATCCCTCCCCTTCTTCCAGTGCTGTTTTCCCACTGAAGTTAAGCTCATTATGATTTCCTCTAACTGAGCCTTTTGTGGTCCATCTTTTCTCTCAGGTCTCTCCCTGCTTTTTTCTGTCTGCTGCTTTGCAAGGGCCTCTTTTGTGCCTCTAGCTGGACACAGCTCCTTGCTCCAACCCCTGCTCCTCACAAAAGAGTAACATGCTTCCCCTGCTGCCTCAGCAACACAGCCAGCTCCCAGAGCCAGGCAGCTGTGGCCAAGGTCAGCCCTCTGCACCCACAGGAAGTACTTCAACATACTTACTTACATGCTAATGTATCTAGTAATAATTTGCAAAATATCACTAGATATTTTCGAGGCTTGAAAGATCTACCAGATGCATGATTCAACAACATTAAACCAGTTGTGAGAGACAAATGATGTCTACCAGCGGGATCAAAGAAAAGTATCTGTATTATATAGCAGCTGCTAAAAAGGATCCCCGTATTTCTGTGAGATTGCTGGGGAAATACCAGAGCTTGTGGAGGTAGAAACACCAAAGACCACCTAAATGAAGTAAAAATGAACCATTTCAGCTTTAATATAAGTTTCTTATCAAACAAAATAAACCCAGAACACTCATCACTGCCCGACTACTTCTTGTTATAATTAAAACCTTAAACACATAAAGCCTCCAGCAACTCAGTCTTCTATACACATAAAATATGCTCAATAAAGAAGCCTTTCCCCCCTTGCTTTGGCTGGAAATTGTCCTCCTCATTTATTGACACACCTTTTTTCAAAATGACTCTCTGATGACTCTCTGATTCTTTCACTGAAGTCACACCATGAGAGCTAAGGGGCAACATGAGTTCATGGAAGGAAGATGGGGAAAAAGGTCACTAGAATCATTAGGCATGCAGGACTTTTCCATTTAAGATGGGAATGCAAATCACAAGATTTTAATAGCAGATTTTAGGACATAAACAGTCTTTCTTTTAAAGCTAAAGGACAGATAAATATAAAGCCACATGCTGAAATTTTTCAGGTGTAATCCCACATCCAGGATAAACCTGTAATCCAGAATTATTATTCTAAAACTAGAAAATTCTAAAATAGAAAGAGCTCTTGAAACAAGCCCTAGATTCTTGCCTTAATGACCAGCCTAGCACGAGCACCTGGGGGCCAGAGACCAGCTCCTGGTGTCCCCTGAGTCCTCTGCAATCCCTTCCCCACAGAGGCCCTACTGCCCAGGGCCCTCCCTCCCACTCCAAATGCACACAGCCCACAGTCAACACCACAGCCCCCTGGCAACACAGACTCTGCAGGAATGCTTCTAGACCAAACACCCAGAAAAAACAGTAAGTGAAATAAAAAAAAGCATCAGCAAAGCAAAGCCCACCAAGCTACACAACAGCATTCTCCTTTCAAGAGTCAGGTAATCAGGAAGAGAGGCCTAATCCTGCATCTGGGTTTTACTTTCCTATCTCTTCTTTATCTGTTCTCATATTTTAATACAAATAACACCTACTTACTTCTTGCGCAGACCCACGTTGCAAAAGTTCTGTAGGCTCTGGGCCTCTCAGTAACGTGCTCTTGGACAAGTCAGACTCATTACCTCCTGGATGAACATGCCTTTCTCAGCCTGCTTTAAAAATCCCCATTGCAACTTCATCAGCGGTGCACAGAATCCCAGAATCCCAGACTGTTTGGGGTTGGAAGGGACCTTAAACACCACCCAGTTCCGCCCCCTTCCACCAGACCAGGTTGGGCCAAGCCCCATCCAACCTGGCCTTGAACACTTCCTAGGATGGGGCAGCCACAACTACTCTGTGTATCTTGGTCAAGACTGTAACAGCATTGCCATAAGGGTCCAAAACACCCATGGGGACACCTGACAGTCTTGCCACTTCACTTTAAGTTTCATTTTATAAGCTCCACACAGGATAGGCCTGAGGGTTTCCTTCTGTAGAATTCTTGAATACAAAACAAAGCTGAATCGTTGTCAAACGACTTTTTTTAAAAGAGAAAAAAACATTTTCACAGAAATCTGATGCTCCACAGAAATCCATGGCTCATATTGTCAAAATCCTCCCAGTCACGGTAAATGAGCCATTCATCCATCAGGGGAGGTTTCGATTGGATATTGTGAAAGATTTCTCTCCTGAAGGAGTGGTCAGGCTGCCCATCAGTCACCATCCCTGGAAGTGTTCAAGAGATGTGTGGATGAGGCACCTGGGAACACGGGTTAGTGGTGAACACAGCAGTGCTGGGTTAACGGTTGGGCTTTTCCATCCTAAATGATTCTACGATTCTTACCACACACCCATGTTCAGTTTGAACATTCTGGACTGGCCCCAGTGCCACTGCTGACTATTCTGACCATCTGACTGGGAGTGATTGGGTGAATTACCCAAATTTTCACAGTAGCACAATCCTAAGTGCACTTGTACTTAAGCTTAGTAAGCTTCTATATACTAAGAGAAGACTATGTTTTGGGAAAGGCTTTATCACCTGAAATACTGTAACCAGTAAAACATCCCAATTTCCTTCAAAAAGGTGCAAACTGTGCAAGTTGACTTGTCCAGGATGGACAAGTTATCTCACTCAGATAACAGCTATGAAAGCCAACGCTACAGAGCTCTCTTCTAACAGACAATACCGTCTTCAGAGGCAGCCTAATGTCAGTGGAAAAAGACCAACTACTTGACTAGGAACTGCCCTTACCTAGAAAAACCGAGTTACTATTGCTACCATTATGCTATGCAACATAATGACAATGCTATGATCCAATTCCAGTTGAAGGGAAAAGGAGGGAACATAACCTTTAAAACCATAAGAAGGAATGTCATATTTTTTCTCCTTTTCGAGTAAAACTGGGGGAGACCAGAGAAAGGAGACAATAAGAAATCAGCTTAACTTGCAAGGAAGGAGACAGGAGTATGCGTCACACTACCAGGAGTGAAAACACCAGGATGATTTATATAGGACAAACATGGAGCAATCTTTAACAGCTTCTCAGAAAGAAGCTACTTAGAAAACTTGCTTTGAGAATGATCTGGGCTTCCTGTACTTTGCCACAATGGCAAAGCTGAGGCTGGCTGGTTTCACTGCCTCTGCAACTCCAGTTACACAATGCCAGGTACTGTTACCTCCATATCTAGTGGGAGCTTTTCCTATGCCTGTCATTCTGATCCATAAAAAACAATACTACTGTGGACTTTTATGAAAAAGGTTGGGATTTTCTTCTGGTGGATGGCTCTGCCTATGATTTGGGCCATGCTGTATGAAAATCCAAGTACAAACAGGAAGACTGTTTTTTTCTAACAGCTTAAATCTAAACAAGCAAGGGGTTAGAGAACAGGGAGCTTTAGTAGTCACACAGCTACATATTAGGTTACTGCTTCCTTTCCTGCCTCACCTTTGATGTATATTCCTCTACCACAGGGAGGGATATCCAACCCACCTATGAAACGACATGAAATACCGCTTCCAAGCCAGGTTTGGAGGAAAAAGAAAAGAAACCCAAACCACACTACTATCTGTCTTCTAAATGAAGACAGTTGTCTAGCATTTGGATAGCAACAGTAGGAAAAATGGAGACTCAATCATGAGGCAGCAGCTTTGCTCGTCTTACTGAACAGAAATCATGCGATAAAGCAACACAGCACATATCAGTGTGCAGATTTTTCTCTGTCATTACACAACAGCATAGGAAAATTCCTTCAAACCCCTTGGGACTGAATGTCACTAATCTTCACTTCCCAGACCCAGAGTTAAAAATCTGGATTCAAATACTAAACTTAGAACTGTGAATTCAAGGCCCTTGGCTCACCAGTTACGAGTGAACTGCTGTCTCTATTACCAACATTTCCAGCATGATCTGCTCTCTTGCTTCTCTTTTAGTGGAAAGACCTATTCGTGCCAATTGGGAATCCTCCCCTACTGTCTGGGGAAGGCCAGCATAGGAAGCGTTACTTATCATGTGTCACATTGCTCCAGCTATAGCTCAAGAATCATCAACGCCCCGTGCTTAACCCTCTTCGGCGCTGCTGGATCATCCTGGTCTATAAATAACCCCCAATAAGGGCTGCAGTCCTAGGGAGCAGGTCAGCACAGGCAGAATTTCCCCTCTATCATGCACAGAGGCGGCTGGCGCTACCTGCAGTGCCACAGGTGAGGCCAAAACCCTCCCGCAGCGCGGCCCATGGCGCAGCCTCAGCTTTCGGGCCCACGGGCGGTGGGAAAGGAGACTACAGCACTCTGAGAGCCCACAGCAGTCCGGTACAGGGTCGCCATCGGCCGAAGGAGAGGGGAAGGCGACCGCCTCCCCAGCCGCGTCCCCTCAGCGGCGGGGCAGGCCCACCCGCCACAGGGAAGGGAAGCGGGACATGACTCATGTCTTTTGTCGGCTCCTGGCTGGCGCCGGAGCGCTCCCCGCCGCCGAGGCGGCGCTCACAGCGGAGCGGGACCTCGGGCGGCGGAGCGGGTCCCCGGGGCGGCCCCCGCGCCCCGGCCCGGCCCGGCGCGGTGCAGGGGGCGCCGGCGGCACGTGGCCCGCGGTGCGCCAATGGGAGCGGCCGCGACCATAGAGCGGGGCCGGGCGCCCGCCAGACATCCCGCCCGCAGCCCGTCTCGCTGGTGCCGCCATCTTGCTGCAGGCGGCGGAACGCGTCCGGCCGCAGCGCCGGGCCCGCGTCCTCCTCCCGCTTACCTGAGGCGCTCCCGCCCCCGCCCTCCCGCGCGGCCGGCGCCGGGCCCGGCGTTACCTCTGGTCGGCCCGCAGCGAAGCCTATGCTGGGTACAAGGCCGAGGGCCCGGCCGCCATCTTGGTGCAGCAGAGGGATGTGCGTGACCTACAACATGCGGGCGGCCCCGCCCCGTCCCCGCGGGTTGCTATGGCGATGGGGCCTGCGCGTGCGCGCCGGGCCCTGCTCCGCCCCGGGGGCGGGGCCTGCCGGGCGGGGCGGCACCGCCCCTTCGCCCTGACCGTGCGCGCGCGGGAGCGGAGCTTGCGGACCGTGGCGGAGGGAGGCGCGAGGTGAGGGCGGCGGGCGCTGAGGGGCGGCGGGCGCTGCCCTGCTCTGCCTCGCCCTGGAGGAGTTCGGGTGAGGGGCGGCGGGCGCTGAGGGGCGGTGGGCAGTGGGCGCTGCCCTGCCCTGCCTTGCCTCGCCTCGCCTTGGGAGAGCTCGGGTGAGGGGCGCCGGGCGCTGAGGGGCGGCAGGCGCTGCCCTACCTCGCCTCTCGGCAGCTCGGGGTCCCTCTGCGCGGCTGGAAAGAGCCGGGGCTGAGACGAGGGGGCCGGGAGGGGCGCTGGGGAAGAGTTTATCCTTTACAGCCGCGCAGACGGACCCCTGAGCCGGGGTGTTCGGCCGAGGCCGGGCGGTGCGGGTGAGGAGGGAGCGGGCCGAAGGGGCCGCGGGCGGTGCCGGGGAGGTGAGGCCAGCGCGGGGCCTGGTGGTCGTGTGGGCCGCCGTGGGACCCCCGAGCGGGGGCCCTCCCCACGGCGGGCGAGGCGGCCGCTTCTGAACACGCTCTTGTGGAAAACTCCAGCAGCGCTGTTGAACCCGGGGGGTGAGGAACATCACCGACCAGCTCCTGAGGAAAATCTGGGCTCCTCCAAGGCTGAGTCCTGCCTGTGTGGGAGTGCTCAGCCCCGAGGGGAACGCTGCGGGAAAGATCATACATGAAATATTTCTGTGCTTGGTCCATATGTTAAAACATAATGGAGCTGCAGCCATCTGCATAACCCTGCTTCGTTTCTTAGTAGCTGTGAGAAACTTTCCTCCTCTCTTCGCCTGCTTCTGAGAAATGGTTGGGTGACAGAAAAGTCTCACAAATTAAAAGAATGTTCTTATGTGTTCCAGCAGGATCTAGTTTTGTTTGGCATTGAAAATCGCTCGTGGAGGATGGTTAAGCAGGAATCAATGACATCAGTTGTCAGGAAACGCTCTTGGAAGGAAGAGTTGCTATCAGAGCAATCTTGCATGATGATGAAGGGCTCACGGATAACCTCTTAAGTAGTTGAATAATTCATCGGTCATAGACCAGTATACAGATGTTGTAGATACTGGAATTTAATTTTAGTGTGAAATTTCACTTGGGAAACATGTTATCCAGTTTTTATTTTATGTGAGTAACCGGGGTGCCAGATTGTTATCACTTAAGTTCAGCTTCATGAAGAAGGACACCAAATGGCTTCAATGTTCAACATCTGTACTCTGTCCCTCCCATTAGGAATTCTTTCTCAGAAACCACCTCTTCCTTATTGAAGTGATTGCTGGGGTGGAGGGGGGCAGGAAGTAACTTGGTAACTCTTACCAGTGGTCACTCTGAGCTAAAAAGCTGCATCTTTGCAAACCTAAATGAGGTTGCAATTTGTGTACATATACAGATATACAGTAGCTTTGAGAAGCAAATCCTAGAAATCATCCCCAATTTGGAACAACTTTACCTTCTGCCTGGCACAAAAAGTAGGGCTCCTGTTCGTCTGACGCTGGGCAGTTTGTTTTGACTCATGATGGCTCTTTGCCGGGAGGAACAGACTAAAGGGTGCTGCGTGCTGAAGCACTTTGGTGTCATTTCACATGGTGCTGAACTTGCTGACAAAAATCCGCTTGGAAGATGGAAAGAATCAGGCAGTGATAATTTCAGATCTGTAGAATAAAAGTGGTAATGAGCTAGCTAGAGAAAAGGTGACTATGGGCTTAGGGAGGGGGAACAGATACCTTTTGATTAGAGGTAGTGGAGGGTCTAGAAAGGGAACTTGTGGTCTCCTCACTTACAGATACCAGCATATGCTGATGTTTTTATGTTGTCACAGTAAAAGCCTTGATCTCTTGAACTCATGCAAGTCAGTGTGATAGGACTGTGGACGAGTCTCTGTTTGTCAAGAGACTTTTACGTAGAGGTGTCGGATGAGAAATTTTTTTAAAAAAATTTTTAGGAAAAATATGTTTTGTGCCTATTTTGTATTTTACACGCAGCTGCATATGAAAATTTTATATTGGCAACAGAAGGTAAAATGACTGAGTTTGCAAGCATCCAGATGAAAGAGGAGGAGGAAAAGATTCATGTTGAAACTGTTAGCTCTTTACAGAACACTCAAGCCTGAACGGAAATGGTGAGGGGAAGGAGGCTTGAGAAGAAAAAAAAATACATGAGTTTGGGGTTTTTTTTGCTTTGAAAAAACTGTTTCCTGTGCAGAGCAAGATGTCCTTGAGCAGGGTGTTTGGTTTGGTTCGTTTCCGGAAACGGTGAGAACCTTTCAGGCTTCAGAATGGTTTGTGGCACATCTGGTGCCTTCAGCACCCCACGTTCATGCTGCTTGGATTTATTGTCTGACCGTGTTCATAGCAACAATGGTAGCTGAAAATTCTGCCCCTCCTTAGTACAGAAGAGTCAAATACTTGCACCCTGTGAAGGAATTGACACTGTTTCAGAGTCTGGACATCCAGTCAGGAATGCTGCTCTTTTAATTTCAACAGTGGATATTACGCTGATTTGTTGCCTTTTTTTTTTCTTGTACAATTTTTAATAAACTGAAAAAACTTTATTTTTCCAGATTTGTTCCTGTCCTTTCCTAAAAATGTCCAAGGTAAGAATAACACTTCCGTCTTCCAGTGTAACAATGTGAAACAGATAATTTGTTTTTAAATATTGATCTTCGTGGATAAAATGTGCAACTTACGTTGTGTTTGATGTATGCTTTATTAACAGTCCATAAGAGAGAATTCGCATTTAGAAGACATGATATTGAAATGTTGAATGATGTAAAACATACATTAAATTAGTTTCCTGCAAGTATAAACCTCTGCAGTTAACTAATACTCTTGGAAGGATTTAATTTTGGTCATGGAGTTGTGTATAAGCTCCCTGGTGCATCTTCATTGAAACTTCCATTGTGCTACTTTGTTTTGAGCAGGAATCATTTAAGGAAATTATGTTCTTAGATCTAATTTCTTCGTTTACTAATAGAACCAACTGATTTTTCAGTAAAATCCTTCATTAAAAGGACTGGTGGTAACCTACAATATTATTGGCATGCTGGGATTCACCTAATTCTTGGCCCCCAGGGTTTGGTGTGATGTGTAAAACATCTCTGTTGGCTTATTGGAGTGAAGTGAATGGTAAAAGGTGCTTGAGTAATGTGTTTGAAGAGGAAAACTAAGAGACCTAAAGATTTCTCTGCCATATTTGTAGTAGTGGGCATTCCAAACCCTATTGTGTAAATTCCCCTTCCCCCCACTTGGAGAGCTCTCTGAAGAGCACTTACAGCAGAAAACTGTCACTTCATGAGTTGCTCAGGGTTCTCCTTTGAATGTGCTAGAAGTGGATTAGAAATGGTCATCTTTTTATTCAAGTCCATACAAATTGGACTCAAGCTCTTTATTTTAACTGTGTGTGAAGACACTGAAGTGTGGAATTAATGACTGCACTTCATACTTTGTCACACTTTCATAAATTATTGTTTGGGATTTTGTTTCCTTTTTACTTAAGGCAATCTTGGCTGGAGAGTTGAATAAATGAAATTTTTTTTTAAGCTGTAGGTCATTGTTGTTTTCTGTACTTTTATGTGAAACTGTTGAATAGTAGGAACCTCTGAGTAGTTTCCTCTCCATATGTCACACAGCTTCAAACCGTTGGAAATAAAAAAGGAAAGCAGTTATACAAACAAATATGTCTTGAGTGGTTGCTTATTATTGTCTTCTTTTATTTCATTTTTAGCAACAGCCTGCTCAGTTTACCAATCCAGAAACTCCTGGCTATGTTGGATTTGCAAACCTTCCCAATCAGGTTCACCGAAAGTCTGTGAAAAAGGGGTTTGAATTTACTCTTATGGTGGTTGGTAAGGAAACATTTTATAGTCTTTCTCAAAATCAGTACTTGCTCACGGGGAATTTGAAGTTAAAATGAATTTTACTTCCACTATTATAAGACTCCAGCTTGCACCAGGAACTCCCCTGTACTTTCTTTTATAATTCTTTAATTTTATTTTTTGTAGTTTATTAATTCTTGCAGCAGTTGTTTTCCACACTACAAATTATGTTTGAATACATTAATAAGTTTGTGGGCAAAGAAATTCTGTTATGCACTCCAGTAATTATTTCTTCCTTCTTTTTCTCCTGTCTTACAATTTTCAGGCATTCCATTTAAAATGTAGTTTTAAACTGCTTTTGCATTTGAATACAGTCTCTATTCACTTCCATGTTTTTATTAAGAGACTAGTATTAAGGAGAACATTCTATTTAAAATGTTGTTTATGTTTCTGTAGTTCAAAACAATCTGAACTCTGATCTTTCCACCCCTTCTAAATACTCTCGTAGAAGAAGGCTGAGAGTCGGTTTTGATGTGAGCTGTTGCTTTTTATATGGATCATGATTTTCTGTGAGCAGTTTTAATTTAAAGTGCAATTCTATTTGATAATTAAGAGTCTGTGTTGGTATCTGAGATGGAAAGTGTCTGCAGAAATATCTTGGTCCTTTGAGAAGTCGGTTGCTGTTCTCCAAAGTTATGTGGACTCCCAAATCAGACTTGGATGTCTTCTCTGTCTCTCCTGCTGGGCGCTGTAACTTCTGAGTTTTGGTGTTTGAACTCTGCCATTCTCACTTTTAAATAGGCTTTTGCAAAAAGTACCCTAATAGAATTAGGCTCTTTATTACCTAGCACTACAAGAAGTAAATCCCATTTGTGTGTTAGACTTGTCCAAGAGAGATCACAGTGGGAATGAGCAGGAGAGGTGAGATAGTACAGGGTAGGAGGTGTTTAAGTTCTTAATTGTTTTGTATTCCAGTAGTTACAGGGAGAGTCTATATTCTCAAACCTTTCATTAGTTTTGCCAAATGACAGCCCTAGCACTGCTTTTATCCTGTCTTTTGTACTTTGTTGTTGGACAGACTTGGCCCTTATCTTTGGCTTCCTAGAATTTTATCATAGTTGTTCACTGTACCTTTCCCTGGATTTGCTTTGGATGATACCATAAAGGATATCTTATAAAATCTAAGGGTAAAGCCAAACTATAAGCAGCTGTTTCAAATTATGGTATCTACTGTAACTCTTCAGAATTTACTGTTCAGTGAGCCTAGAAACCTGAAAGTTTTGAGAAAGAAAAAATGTGCTTTCTCTGCTGCAGCTAAACTTAATTTCCAGATTCCTTTGAGACTAATTGTGCATAGTGCCATGTAAAAGGGTCCTGGCAGAAAGCAATGTAAAATTATATAGACCAACAGTTGTTTCTAGCCCCTTGTAAAATAGAAATAGAGGGGAAATGACATCGTGTCAGAGTATCAGAAAGGCAATTAATCCACCCATGTCAGAGTAAAATGGAACCTTACAGTCGTTGCCTGCCAAAATTTTGAGGGATAAATGAAAACTGCAAAAACAGAACTTGGAAAAAAGTCATTTCATTGAAAATTTGGAGTGGTATTTTAAGATACACTAGCAGAGGGAGGCAGCTGATGTAAGATAAACTGTGCTTTAAATTGTTGATTATTTCAGCAGTTTGGAATGTGAATTCTTCCCCTTCAAATATGCACAGGGTTTAAGTATGTTCTCTTGTGGGATGTGTCACAGTGCCTGTATTGAACTTTCATTCTTCACCGAGTTACCATCCTTCTTCATTTCTGAGCATGACAATACTTCTTTAAAAGCTGTCTGCACTGACAGAGTCCTGATCAATGATTTTTCTTTTTTGCACTTTTTTTTCCTGCTTTTTACTGTGGTGTCTGAAAATACGAGCTGGATTTTTGTCTGCTTGGCTGTGTTGCTCCCAAAGAAATCCAAATCACTTGTATTTATTAACAGTTTTGTGTCCATTCTCATTATTAAGCTATGACTTCATCTAAATAGTTATTTCACTTGAGAGTCACTAAACTACTGTAGCCAGTATAATCCTTGACAGCAACTATGAAAACTGATTTGGTTAATGTATAATATTTACCCAAACTGAAAGTATGGTATGTGGCACTGGATGAAATCATACTTTTTTTTGGTTTTGCTGAAATGATTCCCTGTGACTGTTGAGTTCCTCTGGGTGCATGTCTCCACTGGTGAAGGCTGCACTGGTACAATCTGATTTCGAGAGCTGCATTCTGTGAGGCATTAAAAACTGGCAGCTCCTACTCCAATATTTGCTTAAAAATGATTTCCATCTTTTTTTTTCCTTTGTTCAGATATTTTAGTCAGACTCCTATTGCAGAATAGTCCATCTTACTTAGAGATTACGTGGCCCACCATTTTTAACATCTAATTTTTCTAATTAATCCTATCGACACCTGAAATAAAGCTAAAATTCTAGAAAAGGATCCTTTCAGTGAATTCAGGTACCGAGCACTTCAAGAGGCTGCTCTTTTTTATGCTGTGAACATTTGTTCTGATTAAGATCTTGAACTAATTAGTTGGCCTTTGAACTTTTTCCTCGTGGCTTAGTCAGTAGCCCTAGAACCAAAATCTATTTATGGTCCAGTATGGTAATGCCCAAATTCATCAGTATGAGAAGAATGCTCAGTGATCGTGGCATATTTCTCTTTCCTTGGGTTCTTGTTTGCCATATTAGCATAAAAAGCAGAAATAAATCCCCATTTATGATGTCTGGGTCTACAGACAATGCCTTTTTCATTGTTTAAATTGATGATATAGCCTAGGCAAGATCTAGTTTCTCACTAGGTATGATCTTTCACATTCTGGAGTGATAAGAGAAAACCATGCCTTAAAAAATCAGGAGATATGAAATGGGAAATATTAAGTTTAAATTGATCAGATCTCCACTTGACTAGCAGATTTAATTACAAATCATCAGTGAAAGCTCAGGGAAAGTGCATTATAAACCAGAGATGTAAAAATTGTTATTCAGCCTTTCTCTCTCAGCAAACTTCTCCAATGCAAAACTATAAATTGTAAAATTTTAATTTGAAGGAAACATGAAAAAAATGTATAGTCAGATAATACTGTCTGCATACAGTTGAAATTATCTATGTAAATATTTTGAATTTATCTTTGTATTGAACTGCAGGTGAATCTGGATTGGGAAAATCTACATTAATAAACAGCCTCTTCTTGACGGATCTCTACCCAGAAAGGATAATCCCAGGAGCTGCTGGTAAACACACCTTCCTTCTAGTTTCTCTGTGCTTGATGATTTTTGGAGTTGAATGCTTTAATCTTAGGAATTTGATATCAATCAGCAGTGATTCCTAGCTGTAATAGTTTCTAATGTATTTCCTAAACCTAGAGTTGGTTTCCTCTGCACCCGATGTCTATGGGATATTTATTATTTAGTCCTTGGGTGTATTCTATTAGCACCTAGAAAGTTGATTCCTTCTTTTGCTTAAAGAAAGTCACTGTGTCACAGGAAGATAAACAGTCAGAAGCTTTATTTAGTTTTTAATCAATTGCAATTTTAAACATATGAATTGTTTATACCTGCTTGGACTTGCACCCTAATTTCTTTGCTTTGGGTTAGTATTTAGTGAATGTGAACTTCACCTCCTGTTCTTCTTCAGTCCCTTGTCCTTTTTTTTATTCTGTTAACTGAGGCATACAATTATCCAGCAAAAGAGAATATTGTAAGAAAATAGAGGAAGATGCTATTTTTCCCCCTTTGCTAGTTGTTGAATTACTTCCTTTTTAATAGTTTATCATGCTAGCTGATGATTACTTATCACATTCAGCCTTAGGAAAAAAATCCATTACATATAATTTCACGTTGTTCTCCAATTACCTACAGTTTTGTCTCAGTCCCCTTTGCCTTAGTTTCTCCAGTACATTAAAGAAAAGTGTGAAGTCTCATACTACACTCTTAACAACATCTGAAGAATTTATGTATCGAGTCTTGCTGCTATCAGGGCCTTAGGATGTAATCCACAGAATAGTATTTATGTGGTTGTATCTGCCAATTAGTCCTTGGAGCTTATCTCCAAATGACATGGTCTCCCAGGTGCGATCCTGAGATGTCCCGTTTGTTCCTTCCAGATAAGATCGAACGCACTGTGCAGATCGAGGCCTCCACGGTTGAAATCGAAGAGAGGGGCGTGAAACTGCGTCTGACAGTGGTGGATACCCCGGGATACGGGGATGCCATCAACTGTCGGGACTGGTGTGTGCACAGGGAGTTTATTTTGATCTATTTGTGCAGACTGACATACATTTCATGTGTGTCCCTGGGTGTGTGCTAAGTGCTGAATATGAGGTGTGATTTTTTTTTTTTTGTGGTTTTTAGAAAACCATGCTTTCGAATTTTGAGGAAGCTTGACTTCAGTGTTATGGATTAATTCAAGTACGTGTAAAAACAAAGCTTGAAATAAATTTTGTGACACGCACGTATTTTTTTTTTTTTCCCGGTCGACTTTCTAAAGCTTGAAAGAGCTTTAAGTGAAAAGTGACCTTGACTTAACTTGTAGTCACAAAGTAATGGGACACAAGAATTTCAACAGTGCTCTGAGAAAGCAAATCATCTAGTCTACTGTGAACACAAGTCCACCTTTAGATCTTGCCCACTTTCACCTGAGCATTCTCAGATTCTGTGCTTCATTTTTAAGTGCTTTTCATCATCTTTGGTTTTGATTGTTTGTTTTGAAGGGTTTTTTTTACAAATTTACATTGTAGTAAATACTGAGAAATAATCTTGAGATGACTGGCAATCAGTTTCCAAAGGTAATCCCTTTCCCTACATCTCTCAGGCCTCTGAACCTCAAGGTAGGAACTGTGTAATCTCAGGCCCTGTAGTAACAGAGCAAGGGGCAACAGTTTGAACCTGAGAGAGAAGGGAAGGAATGTTTTACAGTGGTGATGTTGAGACACTGGCACAGGTTGCCCAGAGAAGCTGTGGCTGCCCCCTCCCTGGAAGTGTTCATGTTGGAAAGAGCTTGGAGCACCCCAGACTAGTGGAAGGTGTCCCTGTTTGAAACTAGATGATCTTTAAAGGTCCCTTCCGACCCAAACCATTCTATGATTTTAAATCAATTTGGGACGAGAACCTTAAATTATCTGGAACGTGTGTGATTAATGCTAATCAAAATATAAATACTAACCCAAGAGAATTTTTTTGCAGAACTGAAGTTGTGTTACATATATGTATATTTTATCTTACAATATATATTAAAAAAGTACACATAGTATCTTGTTATTCTAGAATTCAACTAAAAGTTTTAAGATACGTGTGCTTCTACTTTTCCAGTCCTACAGAATCAATAAATGAATTTTTTTCCATCAGAAGGTTGGCTCATCAGCAGGATGTCTTGTTGTTATGATATTACCTTTGAAACAGCTCTGCAGTCATTGACCATTTGGTGATTTCTCAAATCCATCTTCATTTTGCAGTTTTAAGACCATAATCGCTTACATTGATGAGCAGTTTGAGCGGTACCTGCACGATGAGAGTGGTTTGAACAGAAGGCACATCATAGATAACCGGGTTCATTGCTGCTTCTATTTCATTTCACCGTTTGGTCACGGGTAGGTGTTTCTCTGTCATTTTTTTTTACATTATTTTATTTCAGGGACTTTGGTCGTGCCTGTTGACTTAAATTTTCAGAATCAGGTTGCCATCACTTAAGGAAGTGCTATAACTGCTGGCATTAGTTGAATGTGTTCTTTCTCTCTGTGTGAAGAGAGATATTTATTTGGTGTGAACGTAAATTGTAATTTAGAGTAAAAATAAATAAAACTTTTTCCGTATTTTGATTTTAGCCTTAAGCCTCTGGATGTTGAGTTTATGAAGGCCATACACAACAAAGTAAATATTGTACCAGTGATTGCAAAAGCTGATACACTTTCTCTGAAAGAGCGAGAGAGACTAAAGAAAAGGGTGAGTGTTTTTCTGGCTTGCAGAAACGTGTTGTCCTTTGATTGTAGCAGTATGGTGGCTGAAGAGAGGGACACTCTCATTAACCTTACTCTGCCCTAGCTGAGGAAAATACACTGCACAGTGTAACATCATTTAATATGTAGCTTGATATCTTGTAAATTATTTTATTATGTATTTAACTGAGAAATTGTCCTTAGAATGTTGCTTGCAAAATGGCAGATTGGCTACATTTACAATTACATTATGACTGCATTTTGAAACTTTGGAAAAATACTTAGATACATTTGCTGATGGTAATTGTTCTCTTACCTGTTTAATCAGTCCCAAAGCAGAGACTGCATCTAGAATATGTGTGTGCGTGTATATATATATATATGTATATATATATGTATATTTTTTTTTAATTATTTTTTTTTACCCAGTCAGAATTCTGATGGTTGAAAAATGAGATTTTCTGAGATGTTTCTGATTTTGGGGTTGTTTTTCTTCCCCTGTGTCACTCTTCTTCTAAAACATTCCAGTTCTTTCTTCCAGAGGCAAGAGCTCTTGATACATTCAGTCTTGCAGGACTTGATGCCATATTTGCTGAAGGGAGAGCAGGAGAGCAAAGGCTGGAGGAGTCAACAAACCATCATGAGTTAATAAGAGATATGAAGTTTAGAAAGGAGGGTTAGAATTAACTTTCCAAAAGGCATGCTTGATCCAGTCTTAGCTCTTGTATTTAAAAATTTATCTGTGATTTTTTTCAGTTATTCTGAAAATCCTTATAGCTATCTTACCTAATTTGGAATAGAAAGGCATTTACTTTACTAGAAATACTTATCGTGCTAGAATTCTGCAGAAATAAAGATTGTTTTATTGTTTTTTAAAGAGCAAAATTTGGGTTTATGGCAAATGGATTCCAGCTGCAGATGCCATTCTTGGCAATCATGAAGAGAGAAAAAAGTATTTGTTGTGTCTGTAGCTCAGCTAGCTTTTTAAACACTCCCACCTCTACCACCCAAGTAGTAATTCAGAGGTAAGAGCAAGGAGGTTTAGGCTGTGGCTTCTGAGTCAATGCTTTTATTATTACAAAAAAAAAAAAAAAGACAGTGTTTATGTGAACACTACTGTTTGTCTGAAAGTCTGTAGCAAGTAGTTGTTGAATATCCTGAAGAAATATGGTGTTTAAAAACAAATCCTTGTGGAGTAATTTGGATCAATAAGATAGATCCAGATTTTTTAAGAGACTGTGTGGTAAGTAATTTTACGTTAAGATCTAAAAATACTGACTCTACATGTATATTATCTTGATTTCTTACATTACAAATCTCAGATTCTGGATGAAATAGAAGAGCATGGCATCAAGATTTATCACCTGCCTGATGCTGAATCAGATGAGGATGAAGATTTTAAAGAGCAGACCAGACTCCTAAAGGTGTGACTGACTTCACAGGTTACATATGTGAATAATATACTGTATTTCTTCAGACTGCTCAGATGGCTTTAGAACAGGACCTGAGATGAGACCTGGAGTGAGTCACTGTGTCTCTGTGCTCAGGCTTCCCTAGCTGGAAGATGATGGCAACAATTACATTTATTTTTTTTTAACACCTTCAAATTAAAAGAATTACCAACTTATTACCATAGTATGCAGTCCTGAGCCGAACAAGAGTTGTTCTTGGAGTTGTTTGTCCTTGTTCATTGTTAGTAACTTCTGCACTTTTGGCTTTCAGGCCAGCATCCCATTTTGTGTAGTGGGATCCAATCAACTCATTGAAGCCAAAGGTAAAAAGGTTAGAGGTCGGCTCTACCCGTGGGGTGTAGTTGAAGTGGAGAATCCAGAGCATAATGACTTCCTGAAGCTAAGGACCATGTTAATGTAAGTTAGAAAACTCCAATTAAATGGTAGCTTAAAAAGCAATCACTGAGGTGCTCAAGCACTGTATTGGGAGTTTGAGGCGGTCGTGGAATCCTTGGAGACATTCAGAATTTGGCTGGGGAAGGCCACGAGCAGCCCTGACCTGGCTGAGCTAGGCCTAGTCAGGGATTGAGCCACATAGGCCCAATAGGTTCTCTCCAATCTGAATTGCTCAATGATTCTGTGAAAACAGTCTTTTGTCTAATTCTTTTGTGGAATACAGTGTTGTAGCACCATTCAAACCCCCAGGAACATAAAACAGCTTGTTTGAGGCCTTGTGCTTATTTCAGTGTATCTATAGGTAGATACATCTGCAAAGGAGGAGATTTCAAAAGTCCACTGGTTGTTTTTTCAGAGGCTTTGCTACTCTGTTTCTCCTGCCCAGCTTCAAAGGCTCCCCAGTCAGGGCAGCCTCAGGGCTGAGGTGGTCCCTTTAATGCACCGATTTAACTGAAATTACCTTTTAAATTAGTATTTTAAGAGGGTGTGCATGCTAAGCACATTAAGCCAAGGCAGTGCTGAATGTGAGAGTTGGTTAAGCAAGCTGATGTGACACAGGGATGTTTCATCTTTTAATTACTTTTCTCCCTCCAGCACCCATATGCAAGACCTTCAGGAGGTGACCCAGGACCTTCACTATGAGAACTTCCGCTCTGAAAGGCTCAAACGAGGCGGCAGGTTGTTGGCTCGTGGCTGCACGCTGCTCCTTCCTCTTCTGAATCTATTTTTTGGTCTCTCTGTGTCTCACCTATCGTTTCATTGCTAAGATCTGTTAGATCCAGGGCAGCTCTGTAGCTCCAGGAAGCACCAAATTCAATCGTCCAGCTTACAGTGAGTGTAAGGAAAAGTGTTTAGTAAATCTGAAGAGACAGTTGTGGCATTGAAAAGGAACAGTTAGATCTGTGCTTTGGTCTGAGACATGAACACAGCTGGATTGGAATGCTGAAGGTACATAAGTAGGACAGATGTCTATGATAAACATTGTCTAAAAAAAACCTGCAAGTTAGGTCAGGGCTGATATATTTAAAAGAGTGGATTTTTTTTTTTTTTCAGAATTAACAACTGGAATATTTGGACTGTGTCTTTAAAAAAAAAGATATTTGAGTTCTTTTGTAGTGCTTTCTTAAACATGACATGTATAAATCATTTTCTTTACATAGCAGTCACAGGGCTGTCAGCCCTATTTTGAGCTGGGATGAGTAGGGCACGGCTTTTCTGGTAAGAGAGAAGGGCAGAACACCCCGTTTTTAACTGCAGTAGCAGGATTTGTAGAGTTGAGTTGGTGAGTTTTGTGGAAAACTGGGTGTTTCCTGGTTTAGATGTTTCAGCTGCGTCTCTTACTGCAGCCACTAGAGGGTTCCGAATCGCACATTTCGGGGGCTTTGGTGCATTTTGCAAAACTTGCCATCCTGCTGTTGACAGAGGTTTTGTCACATGCCTGGGCAGTTTTCAGCCAAAGGAGTTTGTCTCTGCCTGTAGCATTGGCCTACAAGTCCAATTTTACCCTTCAGGCAAGATGAAATGCTCTTCTCTCCTGGCTTTTAGATCCTGACTTCTGAAGTTCAAGGTAAAAACCCCCAAATTTCCCAGTTCTGGTGCTTGTTATCCAACAGATGTGTAGGAAGGCCTTAGAAGTATTGCTACCTAAGGTCATCCAGAGTTAAAACAATTTTTAAAATTTTTAGAGGATTTAAAATTGCCTCTGCCAGTGACCTGTGGCAAGAGGTTGCTGTTAATTTGGGGTATGTGAAACTAAGACATATTTTGGTGTCTTGTCTAGTGAAGTGGCCCATATACCTTTGTTTTCACATTTCTGAAATGGGTGTTAGAATGCAGTCAGGTTTACTGTAAGTGAGGGTGGTTTGCATGTGAGTTTATTTCAAGCTTGAAACTTCTATCCTATAGGAGAGCTTGGCAATAGGTGCTTGTTGCCTGTATTCATTAATGTTCCCAGAGGTTTTGGGGCACAGAGGATTTTTTGACAATCTGTTTAACCTTAAATGCAGAGTTTGTTCACTCTGCATTTTTGATGGCACTTGCTTGATTAGATCCATTAGATCTTCCCTGTTGTGACATGGAGTAGGAGGAAGCTGTTAGCAAAGCAGTAGGTGATCTTGAGTAGAGCCAGGTGGGAGTCAGTCGTTTCTCCCAGGTAACAAATGACAGAACAACAGGAAACGGCCTCAAATTGCACCAGGGAAGGTTTAAATTGGGTATTAGGAAAAATTTCTTCACTGAAAGGATGATCAGGCATTGGCACAGGCTGCTCAGGGCAGTGGTGGAGTCAGCATCCCTGGAAGAGTTCAAAAGGTTTGTGGATGTGGCATTTGGGGACATGGTTTAGTGGTGAACACGGTGCTGCATTAATGGTTGGACTTTATGATCTTAGAGGGGTTTCCCAACCTTAATGGTTTTATGTTTCTGACAATACTCATCTTATTTTAGGAAAATAGAAGATGAAGAAGTAAATAAAGACCAGATTCTGCTTGAGAAGGAAGCGGAAGTAAGATGACAGAATTTTGTATTCTTGTAATGGGGGAATTTTTGTTCTTGTATCGCTACTTTAGGTCAAATTATTTATATGGTCTTGGTAATTTGTAAAGGAAAAGGCAGTTATATATATTTGCCAATATGAAGTTATATAAGGGTCACTAAGAAAACAGAATGCAAAGAGGTGTAGAGCAGTCTCAGGATAGGGATTTGTTGGAATAAGTGGAATCTGGTAAAACTCCATTCCATTACAGTGCTCAGCAAGGGATGTAACATGCTGTGTGGGCAAGGAGAAGCAATCTCACAAAACATGTAAAGGTTCTAGAGTTAACAACTGCAGGCTGGGAAAAAGTTCAGCTCTGCAACAAAGGAGGGAATGATGGCAGGAATGGCCAGGAATAAAGAATGAAACAGAAATTCTCATTCTGCCACTATGATAAATTCATAATGGGTAACTAATGCTCTTTTTGTTGTATCCTTAACTCAAAAAGGGTATATCCAAGACTAGAAAAAGTGCAGTGAATAGCAAAAAGTGGGCAGAAAGGCTGAAGTGGAGACCTGAAGCAGGTCCTGTACAAGGGGAGATGAGGTTAGTTGAGGCTCTTGTTGGGAAGTAGATGCCAGAAAGGAAAGGGGCTTACATGATTATAGGTGGCAGGATGAATGGGAATCTACTGTACAAGCAAGAGGTCTTGGTTAATGGGATTAACAGGTGGCTGATTTAAAAAAGTTAAAGTTAAAAGAGATGCTTCTAAGATAGTCTGTAAATTGTGGAACTCATTGGCATGGAATTTGTGCATAAGAAGATATTTTTGAGCAGATAAGCCCAAAAATGCTGAGAGACTGGAGACTTTGCTTTCTCCATGAATGTGCTCGCTAAATGCAAAGGTAGAATTTTTTGTTTCAGCAAGTTCCAAAGGGACAGATTCTCGAGTTTGAGAGCGTGTGTGGGTAAGTACTGGGAGTGGGCATCTACTGTTCAGGCTCTTCCTTGTGCTTCCTAAGAGCCAGTACTGGAGAGAGGGCTGAGTTAGATGAACTCCTTGGCTTGCCCCAGCACAAGCAGATGCTCAGCCTTCTGTTAGTGATCTTAGTGGTGACACAGGTCTCAAAAGATAAGCAGAGTAAAAATGAAAAGGGTTGTTGTTTCAAGGAACATGAAAAAAAGAATAGTATAACGTTCTACAGGTTTAACTTCATTGTTAAGCTTAACTGTTTAGTTTGAGTTTACACTGTAAGTGCAAAAAGGCAAAGGCACCCCCAAAATTGTTCCAGTGAGGCTCACTTGCCACCTCTCAGAGCTGGGTACAACAAAAGGATTTAAGTATTGAATGTGCAACACGGTTGAATTAAGCTGAGTTACATAATTACTTTATGATTAAATGTTGCAATGCTCTAAAACTGACCTTCAACCAAGTTTAATCATGCTTATATTTCCTTGGATGGTTTGCCTGTAGTACTTGCTTCCACCTAGTCATCACTAGCAAGGGAATTGGGGGGTAATCCTAACAATTTTTTTTTGGTGGCAAATACTGGTATAGTTTGGAGAGACACAAACAAGCTGCTTTTCTTCTGGTGATACACTTTACTAACTGTAAGTGTTTGTTCAGCACTTCAGCACCATCCTTTTTATGCATTTAACTTCAGAGACTTCCATTCAGGAATGCTTAAAAATCCCATCCCACAGTGCAGTAATAAAGCCTGTTTACTTCAGTCAGTAAATGCCAACCTCTTCAGGGATGAAGAGCAGTAGAAGATACCATAACCCAGGGTCAGATAAAGAAAATGCGATCCCTCTCTCATATAAATAAATAATAGGTTGGTGACAGTGAAGAATTCTATTCTGAGGGGAGATCAGTCTGCAGAATTCTCCTGTGCTGCTCTTCCAGCTCCGTCGCATGCAGGAGATGATTGCAAGAATGCAGGCACAGATGCAGATGCAGATGCAAAGTGGAGAAGGTGACAGCAGTGCAGTTCATGGGCACCACGTGTAAAGTCTTGGGTAAGATGTTCAAACAGCCACGTGAAGGGCTTCTTCCTTTAACTGTTCACTAGTATGATTGGCATTAAGAAGTTCTGGAAAAATGTTTATAAGGTGAGTTTCCAGAGGTTTCAGTTTTAATTTTTAAGGATTAACTGCTGATTCACTAACAGTCAAATGGCTTGGAGTCGTTGTTGTGGTGGTGTGTGTATGTGTATATGCAAATTTTCCAGAAAGTCAATACAATATATGCTGGTACAAACCATGGAAGAAGCCTTTGAAATAGTTTAAAAAGGGGATTCTAAGCTCGTGATGCAGTCATTGTTTCCTTGTGACTTATAAAATATGTGCAGTTCTTTTGGGCTTCTAACTGTGAGAAGACAGCTGATCTGAAATTGTATTTTCCTGCCTTGTTTTTAGATGACTTTATCTCCTGACTCAAAGGAGACCTTCTGGAGTTGGATTGCAGTGGTGTTGGAGCAGAAAGGATGCCTCTTGCTCCCATGTGACTTGGAGTTTCCTGTAGAATTTAATGTGGGAATGTTTTGTGGTAACTCTTGTGAGATGTATTTTGTAACACGTAGTCACACAGTATTTTATATATTATACACATTTGACTTTGGTTTTTTTAGTCATTTTTACTTTGAGGTCATTTTTGATTTCCCATTGTATTAGGGATACAAAATAGACATCGAAACTTTTCTAGCCTGATACAACGTTAGATACTATTTTTTTTAATATACCTTAATTAGCTACCTGCTTCTAACTTTGTATTCCATTTAGAAAACAAATGTCTGTCAGTGATATCTTCTTCAGAGCCAGGTAACAGTCACCTCACTAAGGATCCCTGCAAGGTTAGTTTTATATATATTGCAGTGTTTACATGTGTGTGTCTGGGAGACCATCAGCCCTTTCTCTGTCTCTGCTCACTGCTGGAGGATCTCCTTGGCCTCTGCAAGCATCAAATGAAAACTCAAGCATTCCTTGTGTCTTAGCAAAAGAAAGAAGAGGAAATGTCTCTGGGAGAGGCACACTGTGTGTTACATGACAGGCATTATTTCCTTCAGATTTAACCTTGAGGGTTATTATTTGCCTAAAACCTTTTACTCTACTGCAGCTAATTTTGAAGAGTTTCTTGTAGGTTAGCACAAGTCGGTCCCGCTATTTTCTGGCATTATTGTAGCCAAATAAACTTGAATAATGCTGATATTGTTAAATGGGGTAAACCCCAAAGAGTAGTTTTGTATGCACAGGTGTTTCCTATATCCAAAAGCATAAAAAAAAATCTATAATTCCTAATTAGTATTTTCATAACGTTTTTAGGGCATTGAAAACTGTTAAATATAGTATAAAATATATACTAGCACACTTCTATTTTTTGAAGTAATCTGTGCCTGACAGGATCAATACAAACTGTGTTTTAAGCTCTTGCTCCAAGATGGAGTCAGCAGTATTACTTCGGAAGCGACTCTGATTTTTTTTATTAGGCCAAGGTCACTTCCCTTAACACTGATAGCAAAGGAGGCTGTGTTCAGCTTGGCTGGACTTGTGCTGCACGTCATGCCTGGTGTTGTGTTTGCAGCAGGAGATCACATCTGTAGTACACAGCTGCCCAGGTGGGAGCTGACAGGGCAAGCAGTGACACACCTTGGGTTGTCCACAGCTTCTGATAAAGCCAGCATTCAGCTTTCTCCATCTGATCTGTTGCAAAACAACCTTATCAAAACAGCTAATAAGCAGGTAGAATTACTACTTCTTTCTTCTCTTTGAGCTCAGGTGCAGCTGCGACTTTTATAATTTTTTTTTAATGTTTCTTTGACAAAAATAATAGGATTTCTACGGCTAATGTATAATTCCAGTGTACTTCGGTGGTTAGATTAAATATAAACCTGCTAAGCAACTGAAACTTTTACCTGCCTGAAACTACTGTTTATAAATTGTTTTATGTTTGAATCTTTCTAAAAATGTGAAATAAAGCCCTGCATCATAGCCTTTACTGGGGAGCTTCAGCTCTCTTTACAGAAGCAATTACTGTCAAAGTTAGACACGACTCATTTGACCTTCCCTAACCTTGACAAAAGTGAAAATGAGAACCTTTTTGTGTGCTGAGATTCACAGAAGCATTAAGTCCCGTTTTGTCAAATATTTACATATAAAACTTGGGTGGAAAAACATGTTGCTTCTAAATTCTTGGGTTGCTTTTTCAAAAGAAAGTATAGAAACAAAGTAATGTGGCAGCACTGCCACAGAACACTCCACCTTATTTATTTCTGTTGCTATGAGCCTGTACTTGAAGAAAAACTGTGAAGTCTGAAGTGTCTGCACAGGGGCCTGGTTGTACGTGTCACTCTCCCTGTGTTTGTTGGGCTGATAGTTTTTTCCCTCTGTTTTTTAACATGGGAAGAAAAGTAGATTGTCCATGTGTTTAGGGCTGTTTGGTCACTACCTGTGGAATTATTTCAGGCAATATGTGATTCCTTGAAATAGCACATACCTATTAAAATATTTGATCAGGGTAAAGTATTTCATTTGATCCTTAGACAAAAAAAAATTTTGATCTCCAGATTCTAGCAGGAGAAATATTTTTGTATGTTGTTTTGGGTTTTTTTTGATGGGAAAAAGCAAGTTTATGGCACTTGCCATTTTAACTGCAATACTCAAGTCAGGTAATTGCTGCTTCTTCCCGAGCCCTTGGGGTGATTGTTCATAGTGTGCCTGATGTCTCTGAAGGTCTGATTTCCCCTACACTTTTCTTGGGATGGTCTTGAAATTCGTGGTTTCATGTTAAGACATCAAAAGCGGGATTACTTTTCTCAGAAGCTGTTTCAGACAAACTCAGCTGGTGGTAGAAGAAAGACTCAAAGTATCAGAAAGACTTGGGGACAAAAGGTAGATGCTGTTTGGTGGCTTGCTGAACCAGCCACAGTTCTTTTTCTGTTACAGCATTGTGACGGTTTTCATTTTAGGAGTCAAAACACTTTGGAATTTGCAGGGCTTTATAGTTGGCAGCATATGTTACTTGTTCTTGGTACAAAAATCTGTTATATTCTGTTTTATGTACTGCTATTAGCCAAAAGGATAATAAAAAAAATGCTAAAAAACAATTTTGTTTTTATTACGATTCTTTATTATAATCAACCCCAGCAATATTAATTTGTGGTGATATGTTTGAAATATTTTCCTCAGTCCTGCCAGGACAGGATTAATTTTTGCAGCAGCCAAGAGGGGCCATGGCCAGGACCTGGAGGTTATTCTATACCACCTCATGGCAGTGCCTGGGGTGGGAGAAAGGGAGTCTCTTCCAGGGAGAAGGGGTTCCCTCCCAGCGAGTAAGAGTGGTGCTGGTCCCGAGCCAGAGGGAGTGATGTGCTGATGGCTGCCTGAATCACTCTCTCTTTTGTACACTTCTGTTATTAATATCATTGCTGTTACTGTTCTTTTTCTTATCTCATTGCTGTTTCCAGTAAGTTCCTATCTCAGCCTGTGGTCTTTATCTTGTACCTCAAATTCTCCCCTCCAGCCACCAGCAAAGGGGGCAGGGGGAGAGGGGAAGCGAGTGAGCAGCAGCGTGGTTTGGAGTTTCAGTGGGAACACTGAACTGGGGATTACACTTCCTAAACCATGACAGACATAAAGGAGAAATGCAGTTGTGGTTGAAAGAGGACACAATGAACCTGCATCAAATGTAGTCAAGTATTGTGTTCTCTGAGTGTATTGGAACAGTGCATTTCCCTGTGGCTGTTCCCAGAGCTCCCAAAGTCCTACCCGTGGGATCTTGCTTTTTCAGCAGCTTTCACCAAACTTGCATGACCCTTAATCATGATGTTAGCATAGAATGGAGCTGCTTATTCTTAGGTGGGGCTTTAAGGGTCATTATTTTCTCCAGTGAATCCTGCTTCATCTTTGGTGAGAGCTAAAGACTGGTTGATCCTTTTTCTACATATCCCAAAATAACTTAGGCTTCATCTTCCCATAAAACAACTTCAACGATCCTTGTGGCTGTTGCAGATTAAGAGCCTGGTGGCTGTGTCCTTGTTTTTGAATTCTTGAGATAACTGATTTTACAGCAATACTTTAAATTAGGAATGTGTGGCTTTTGCTCATGCCCTGCTCTGGAATGATCTCTGTATGTTCGTGTTTTCTTTACCTGAAATATTTAGTGTGGAACTGGTACAGAAAAGGAAGGTTCATCTTTAGGCTATAGTGAGAGAAGAAAGCATCCTGAATATGTGAGACCTACTTTTTGAAAGAAAGCTTTTTATCTGTACTGCTTATGCTTGTTTTTTTTTTTCCAGAATGTCATCCTTTCAGTCAGGTGTAGAAGACTACTTTCATTGAAATCAAATCCGATTCTGGAAAGGAGTGCTGGAAGAGAATTGCACTAAGAGTTGCACAATTACTGGATTACTGGAAAACTTATAAAAAAATCTACCAGATTTGTTAGTTCCATGCACACAAACAAAAAGAATTGTAATTGTGGACAGGGACTGAAATAGTGTCAGAACTGACATATAAACACCTCACAAAACTGGGTAAGTGTATTGTAAGCTTTCTGTTCAGAAGCGTGTGGATTAGTGCAAGTGGTCTTCTCAAACCCTTTTTATTATACACTCTTATGTAGGAAAAAAGGGAGATAGGTCTTGCAAAAAAAAAAACCAAACCAAACAATAAAAAGAGTATAATGTCCTTTGTACATTGTTTTGCCACTGGCTAGCAGGGAGTGCTAGCAGGAAGGTTACACTAATGCACTAATGCATTGTGCTCATGTGCTAGAACAAGTTTTATTTTGCTTTAAATCTGCTTAGTAGACCCAAATTATCCCATTTTTTTGGAGGAGTTGCAGGGCATCATTAGGATATGGCTATGCAGATAAACTCATATATTTGTTATATGCAAGCATACAGCTGAATCTATTTGGATGCAGATTTTTCTAGAAAGGTGTGCATGTATCTTCTAACCTTTCCTTCTAAGTTAATTTCTCATGCAATTTATGCTTGCACTGCTATGAATGTTTCTTTTCTAGGATTTATTTTCTTCTGATCATCTCTGTGCTACTCAGTAGATTTTTCTCTTAGTTTGTTAGACTCCTGCCCTTTCTTTGTTCCTTCCATTTGTGATCCTGCAAGGTCCTGGCATTTTTCTCGTATTTCATTTATACTTTTAGGGTAACATTTTTGTAGGTTCCACTTGTGCTAGTTAGAGTGATGGTGGCTTGGATGCCCAAATGTTCCCTTTTCTGAAGAGAGTAATTGGAGCTTTACTCCCTGGCCACTGCGGCTCTTCAGCAAGGAATGAGGGTGGAGATCATTCAGAGCCTGTGGTGTGCCTTTTCCAGGCTGTTTTGAATTTTAGGGTGGCTGGGCCTGAGATCAGATTTACACTGCTTGCTCTCAGGCTTTCCATTTGGGTGACAACCTGTGGATGAATTAGTCACACCTCTCTCCTCATAAACACTAACAACCGCAGATTAAGTGACTGAGGAGAAAGCTGTCCTGTGATGAGAGAGGAAAAGAATGCCTGGCATTTCATTAACAAATGCTACCAAAACCGACTATATTCAGCCTTTCCCTTAATGCACTGTCAGTTTACTTTCCTGGGCAACCATGTTGAAAAGTCCAGTGCAAAAAGGGATGGAGTTTTTCACTGTTTCATCTTTTACAGAAGCTCGCGATTAGTAGGAAATCCCCCCAAGACTGAAAGAAATTCAGATTCGGGAATTGTAACTTTGATGTCAGTTGAGTCCTCTGCTGTTTCTGTCTGAGTAGACAGCATGAGTGCAGAAAAGTGCCTTGTTTTCAGATAATTCTCCTGCTCCACACAGCCAAATATTGTCTGGATCTTTCTGAGTGTCTGGACACGGCCAGGCACACCTTGTGTGTCTGTTCCATTGGCTACTCCGTGGTGTTCTTGCTGGTTTATCTTGCTTTTGTGCCCTGAAGAGGGATTTCCATCCGAATTTTTCTAGCTTGTTACAGAGATTTAGTGGTTAAAAAAACAAGAAAAATGAAGTGAACAAAATATCTACTAACTCCTTTTTCTTGACCTCTGGGTAACGAAAAATGAAAAGTGTCACTTTTCCTGCATTTTTCTGGACACTTAGTAATAGATTCTGACATGCTGCATACTTTAGGGAAGTGCCTGAACTAGAGGGCAAACAAGGTTGCTAATTGCTTACAGTCTGGGTAATGTGCAAGAATATAAAGGCTTTGGGAAGAGTTGAAACTGTTGCTTGGGAAGACATCGAACTGCAATTCAATGCAAAGGACTCCAGGGAACTATATGCTCCTCCCTATTTGCTGTTTTCTCAGTGCTGTATATTGAATAGTGCACAAAGAGCTTAACACAGGGCTGCTGCTGACAGAGAGAGAGAAAGCCAGAAAGAAACACTTAAAGGATTCCTGCAGTGGAAGAAAGCTGTGATTAAAACACTTCATAACTCAGCTTGCTCTAGAGCTTTTCCCACAGCCCACGATTCCCAAGGGCATTTCTCTCGAGAGTCACCAGTTCTGCTAGCAGCTCTTTGTCTCAGGGCACTGTTCCCACCGTGTCTGCCACCTCTTCCCGGAGATGCTGAGCGTGGCTCTGGGCTGCTGCACGTCCTGTTCCTTCGGAGAGCCTGGAAGGCACATGGCTGGCAATGCAGGCCAGTTTACCAGTGGGGCAGGTATTGTCCCTGAGCTGGAGGAGACCTTGGCCGTGTAGTTGTTTCCTGATGAACCTCTTCATCACCCCAAAACCGCGAGGTGCTGTCACCCGCTCGTGTGTCCTTTTATATGGAGATTTGAACGGTGCTGAAACCAGGATGAAACCAGTGACCAGGTGACCACATTTGATGTCATTATGGGTCAAGCCCAGAAACTGAGAATGGAGCGAGTATGAGGAGGAAGAAGGTTGTCTAAGAGGTGGTGTGGTGGCCAGCCGTGCTGCCAGTGCAGCCCAGACATGATGGGATCACCTGGGCCTGGCTCACAGCCACGGCAGGGTGTGCCCGAGTTTCAGGTGCGTTGTGAAGTTTCTGCAGCATTTAGCAAGGCGAGATCTGATGTAGCTGTGTGTTTGCAAGTTTAGTTTCGGTGCTTGAAATGCAGGAGACAAATGAATTTCACTCCCACCCACAGGAATGAGAGCCTGTTAGTCCAGCGAGGTAGAGGAGGCATCCGGCTGCCTCAGATGGAGAACGACACGCTTTTGGGAAACTACCTGTGGCAAGAGCAGAGGCAGCCCCACAGCCACCCTGCTTGGCTGTGTGGAGCAGTCCCATGGAGCAAGCAGTGCAGCGCTTTGACTGCTCTTGGAAACACTGAACTCCTAGATAGGAAAAGAATGAGGAGCTCTACTCTCTCTCCCAAGCCTAGAGCTTACCCTGATCCCTTTTAGACCTGGTGCAAACAGGTTCGTAGAACTGAAGCAGCCAGTTGTTTATGCTCCGTACCAGCCCTACCTGGCTCTTAGCTTTGCACATATCATTTGTGGTGATGTAACTGGTGTCAGATTGGAGACATGGCTTGCTTCCAAGAGGGATCCACGTT